TGCATAGGCAAACAACAAGAGGGGCCAGCGAAAAAGCCAAGGTCACAGAATCTCTAAGCCACACGCACACGCACACACACACACAAAAACACGGGCACACGGACACACACATACACACTCACAGACGCGTGCACACACACAGATATAATGCACGTAAAGGAAGTTTATAGTCATTTTCTAAAACCGATTTTGAACACTTACTCCAAATAGCAGCCTCAGTACTTATCATCTATTGTATTGTTTTGTGTACAGGTATTCACAAGAGGTACTCAGGTTTTCTTAATTGTGCTAAGTTATTGTTTTCTTTTGTGTTCTGTGGTAATCTGATTTATTTCAATAGCATTTTTGTTTCACTTTGTACTTTATTGTAACCTTCATATGGTTGTCTTATATTTAATTGTGTAGAAATGCTATTTTAGTCCTGTTTAGTCCTAGCTTTTTCGACTCTATATAAAAGCCTTTAATTAACATTAAAGGCGTAACTTCTAAGGTAGAGGGGTTTGCTACTTGATTGTTTCTGTGGAGATCTTATTTCTTTCATGAAATATTTCACTCTATGGCATTAAACATACCACATTAGATATTAGATCTGACAATTGACTTCTATTGAGATTTTATTGAGTTTATTTCAGTACTGTGGAATAATCAAGGCAAAGCTGTAACATCTCCATGGAGACAAGCAGGTGATGGACCCCCCACCACAAACATTACACAATGCACCTTTGACGATGGTCTATCAATAAAAGAATGAATGAAAATAATATCTGTAAATGAACTGCCATGTTGACCTTGAAAGTATAGTCACAGTTATAGAGGCTGCAACAGCCAAAGTAAAACCTGCAGCAAGTATTAATAATGTGGAAGTGTATTAATTGGCAGTCAGAGCACAAGTTGTAGTACAAGTTAACACAAGTTGTAGTATTGAAGTGGTACAAACACTATTGTTGTTGGGAAATAATATTTTTGCACATGGCTGCCTGTACTGTGAGGCAGGAGCTGAGAGAACACTCTTATAGCTCATAATGACAGGGTTGGAGTCTCTGTGAGTAAATACATGAGATCACAAAACCACTGGCACTGGCGCGTACACAAACTCAACACCTCAAAACACAGTGAAACCTGCAATCAGCCAAACAGACACATCGAGACACACAAAGACACAGCTTCAACATCCAACAGCATAACAGAAAAAGAGTGTCCAAAAGCAATTACAGACAGGCTTCACGGTGGAAAACACTGCTTTCATCTTCTACAGGAACTCTTTCAGGAACATGAAGTTTTGAACTCCAAAGCTAAATTTAAGACTAATTTAAGGCGAGACACTGCAGGTGAAGGAAAAAATTTAAATGTAGAGATGTCATTTTGAAACTTCTCCTGAACTTTACAAATATGAATAAAAGAAAAATGTACTACAAGTTTTTCATCATGTAATGTTTTCATATAAAAATACAGCATTTTATGAGTAAAATGTGCCAAAATTTTAAATTTTTGGAAAATTTGAAATATTGGATATATATATTTTAACTTTAACAAAATAGAATTAGAAATAGACATCACCTTTTGTAAGTTTCATCAAAATCTTACAAAATACAAAAATACAAGATTGGAAAATCTGGTTACATAAGGAATTACTGTGTTTTTGAGCAATAGAAAGACCTGTGATAAATAAGTGCTAGATAGATATATTTAAAGCCACACCATGGAATATTCCAGGCAAAGTAATAACATCTCCATGGAGACAAGTAGGTAGCAGACCCTCCAGAAAAGTTGCGCAGTACATATTTCAGAGATCAAACTGACCAAAAAACACAATACTGGGAAAAAATTTGTGTTGCCTGTAGTGTCTCACCTTTTTCTCACCTTCCTTTTCCAAGCATTTACCTCAGAGCTTGTACTCAATGCTCTACACTCATGATGTTCCCAAATGTTGCTGTTACCAGTATTTATGGGTGTCAGCTTCCTGTTTATAAGTGATATTTGAGGACTTTTGCCCATTCAAAAGAAATAATATTATGTGTAGAAGTGTTAATTGCTAGGGAAACGATGCTAGATTTTCATCACTCTAAAACCCATGGTAAGTGGCTTTCAGTGTGTCAAAAGCAAAATTATACTTATAAACACCATGGCAACACATTAAAAAACCTCAGTATGCATGTTCTAAATAACATTGGTTTACACAGATTTGAAATTCTGATACTAATCGATACTAAAACTAGTATCAGAACTCATACTCATTTGAGCAGGTATCAATACTAAAAAAGTCACATTCACAGGACAGAAATGAACCTTTCCTGAATAGCTTTAGAATGACCTTGATCTATGGAGATATGTTATAGAGATTGCTTTCACTGGAATGTACTACAGTATGGCATTAAACTTATTTAATTATAGTTGTTGTTTTTTTGTTTGTTTTGGCAATAAAACAATAACTTGAAAAACATGCACTCTATTGTAAGCAGGCCTACCTCTCCACAAATCGGACATGTAAACTGGCATGGTGTAGCCTGATTCATCAGCCGGTTTCACTTCGTAGAAACCATCTGACCTCGCAGTGTTAGGATTTGTTTGTACTTTTTTCATTTAACCAATTGCTGCTATTTGATCGTGACATATGTTATGTGCCGCAAACCGGGCTAACTAGTATATTAAGTTTTTCCCAAATCCCATAGGAAGAAGAGCAATAATATCTTTCCCCTTGATAAAATTCACCAAACATTCTCTTTGTTCCGGCTTTCTCTTTTTCGGCAATCTCGGGAATCATTGCCAACAGAGAATGTATGGCTCTTCGCTGATTGGCTGGTGCCCGAACTTGCACTTCCGGGGTTCTTGCAAATTTTCTATGGTATTACGATTTCTGACCATTCCTGATGTTTGTCTCCATGGAAATAGATAAGGTTAATATCTACTATATACTGTGTCTGAATATAAAGAACTTGTGTTTGTTGTGTCTGTCTTATTGTAAAAATAGATGCACTTACTGCACAAAATTTACTGCTCAAATGTATATAAAAATATAAAACAAAAATATATATATTCAATAACATCTCCATAGTGACAGACTTCACCCAGAAAGTTACACGGCACACTTTTAAGTAGCTACTGAGCCTGAATAAAGTATAAAGTCTATATTCATTCTTTGTCAAAGCTTATTAGCTGTATTATAAAACATTATCCTTTCATGTGTACAAAAACACCTACCAACACTATTGAATGAACTCTTGTATGTCTAATGCTAAACAAAGGGGCGGAGAGCTCCCAGGGCTGTTTCCTGCTGACTTCGGTGAGCGTGTGTCTGCTGCTTAGAGAAGCCCAGTGAGGGGTGACCAGGAATGTGTGAGACAGAATTAAGGCATGTTGTTAATTAGACTCTAGTCAAACCCCGTGCAGATGTTTTTAGCTTTGCAGATTGTTGGACGAGAATCAGACAACACAAAGCAAAGGGTCTGACTCATTTGTGAAGCAGAGGTCCTGTTAAGCAGCTTTGTGGTGATCGCAGACAATACACAGGTCTCATGAACATCAGAGCATGTGATTAGGACAAGTTAATGGAGCAGGGGGGTAGTCATGGTCAGAAGGAGGACAGACAAAGGGCTGGGAGTGACAGTGTGAAGATTGTGTATATATAACCCAAGTAATGTAAGTAAAAGGCCTTAAAGTGCTAATTTTACGCTATTTTTTCATTCACACATGTTGAACACACAAACCCTGCATATTTGGGAGAAGTGGTAATACAGGAAGTGCTCCACTGTCTTTTAATCTCTATTGAACTAAAGGTAAAAGGTAGCAGTTTAGTTGAAAACGACCACTACATGACATCACAAAGTGGAACACTGGAGCATTTTGAGCTTTGGAGTTGTTGACAGACTAATAATAAAGGGTTACTCAAATGTGTGAATGAAATAAAACACAACCGTATGCATGTTTTTGTTGAGGTAACATTTTAACATGGCTTAAAATTCACATGAATCTATTTTGTGTAATATAAGGCATATAAATGTGAAAATATACATTATGCCAAAATCAATACATGTAAGGTGACTGCAGTGTGGGCGAAGTTTTACGTGTCCTAATGATGTAGGCAGGAAAGTATGCACCTGGTTACAACTGGAATATAATTAATTCCAGTCTCAACTTAACCTAAATATTATAGTATATCACATCCTAATGCAGATGTTCAGTTTCACACCAATTAATTAAAACTTTATAAGTAAATTTTGCTGAAGAAAATATAGACGATAAATGATAATTGAAAACAAAACATAAAGCTGAATTAAACCCCAAAAGACATTCTACAATTTTGTTAAAAGCATGAGCTGCCATAAATGCATAACAGAATGAAATGTTAGTTTGTGTCTATAATGATTCATAGAAGTTCATAATTCCAACTTCTGCAAATTTCCCGCTAGTACAAAGAAAAACTCTCCATAATAAATATTGACCCCCAAAAATGATAATTCTATAACATGTATTGAATGAAAAATTTATATAGTATTTATCACGACAGGCCTAGAACAGAATCACCAAAAATTTTATTTAAAGGGAACATATTATCAAAACTAGTTCACTCAAGTAAATGAAAATCCACTGCTTGCAATGGTAAAATGCCACAATGAAAACGCGGGGCTTCTCAGTTCCGCAGTTTTTAAGAGGAAGTCTGTTAGTTTCTATTCCACATTTTAGATAAATTTTGTAGTCTACAATGAACAAAATCTAAAATAATGATCAACATATAATACTAATACTAAATACCAGAACAAGCATAATATGAATTCTAAAATGTAATTTCCCATTTTGCTTGTAAGTGATCCTACAGCACCTCCTTATTCTGTCGGCCACATCAAAGCAGCTCTCTGTAACTCAGGAACGTTGTAGGTTTTCCAAGCTCCGGGGCAAAATCCCATTAAAAAAATTAACTCTATTCAGTAGCGATAATTACATGTTGCTATTAGATTGTGACCTGAGGTGGTGCATAGTTTCAGGAGCAGTAGAACACGTCTCACCTTACGCAGACGGCCGCTGCTCGTTCCCAGAAACACCACAGTGTGATGGTGCACGTGGTCCACACTGACAGAGGTGAGGGAAGGGGTCTCCAGCAGCGGTGAGGCTCTCAGGGACCTGCGAAGGGCCAGAGGGTGCTGCAGGTGGGCCGCTCCACAGTCCAGCTGATCCGGCTGCAGCTGCAACAGAAGAGACAAAAAAGGTGTGATTTTGACAGCTGTAAAGAAGGTCAGGAATAGAGATTCACCAATGTGAGTTTTTACATGGCTGATGTCAATATTGATTGTTTAGATTCCAAAGCAAGCAATGTCTGATTAGCTCTGCCAATATTTGTGACCAATATGTAGAGCAAATTTTGATTATTTTCCCCAAATGTGTATTTTAAATTCACGGGATTATATTTCCAATCTCTATCCTAGTATCGGCTAATATCGGTTATAAGCACATACTTAAAAGCAAAAGTATCGGTATCAATATCGAAAAAGAAAAAACTGGGTCGTACATGCCTAATATTGCAATCAAATAGAAATTGCATTTTGAGTTAGCACAATAAATAAAAAAGGCTGCAATTGTTTTGAAACTGAGATGTCCTCTGAACAGAATCCTACTTTTTAAATTATTTATAATTCTTGATAAAAATGAATCTGTACCATTCATTATAGTAGGATATGTAAGGCTAAGGGTAAAATGCATAAAATTCAGCTGTCAAGGTGGCTCATGGGACTGAATCAGTTACTTAAGCCAAAATGAAAATCACCTGCATTTGGGAGATTGGGTCCACAAGAATGGAAAAAGATGAGATCTCCACATAAGATAGATGTGACATGGCAATTTTGCTTTTTCATTTCATTTAAAATTTTTGCAGTCATTGTAGACCTGCTTTTTCAACTTCAGCTTCTTCTAAGTAACCAGCCACTGACACAGTAACCCAAGAGCGGATTTAAACCACAGAAACGATCCTAAATCTACAATACAGAGTTGCAAACACTTTAGTGCTTAGTTTGCATCTTTAATGAGTCATAGTTAGTCAAAGTTATTAATTCAACTTTTTACAATTTAAATATTACTACATAGCCAAAATATAACTCAAAACACTCCAGTAGTGAAAAGAAACTACACACACAATAAAAAAAAAGACTGTACTAGCTTCTATGTATTGAACAGTAAGTCAGTAGTAATTATCGTGACAGGGCTACCTCCAGTCAAAACCAAGCATGCTCATCCAGCTTGATGGTCCTACCTCAGATCTGAAAAGATTTTCTTGAATACTTTAGGGCAGTTGCCTGACATAATGCTCCATTGAAGGGTAAAATGCCAAAAGTTTTAGAAGACCATCACGTGCCGACAATGACACTGAAGAAACATCGTTAAGCAAAAGAGAGTATGACTAAATCAAATTCTGCCCATTATTCAAATAGTGTAAACAAATTACATTCATGATACATAGATTTTCTTGGGATATGAATATTTTGTTTGCTTTGGTTAATGACAAAATTACAATTTATTATGCAAACCTACACGCAATTAACAAACTGTCATACGCATTCCATACAAATGAGAGGATCAGACAGAGCCTTGAGACAAAAGTGGATTGATAAAACAAAAGCTGATAGCGGGTAATCACAACCGTGCTGCTAATTCCACTGAATCACTTCCTTGACATCTCCGTGAATACTTGAAAGGGGCTTACAAGGGTCTTCAACACTCATAAGACCGTGCTTTTGTCAAATCCTCCACGGGCAATGATAACACATTAATGCCATGCTCGGATGCACACCGGGATCTGCTGGGAATTCTCGGAAGATTTTAGCGCACACACAGAGGCAGGGAGAATTAAGCAGTACGGATATTTGCAGAGCACTTTCCCACGAGCTCTGGGTCTCTCTTATCAAATTGTGTCTGACTTTTTAGCTGCACACTGGCCTTCACACAACTGACAACAAAAGACATTGATTTCAGTGGCCATGAAAACAATAATGCACTGAACTTTATTTAGTTACAGACGGTTTTGAGTGAATAAGGCACTGAAGAACAGAAAATACCAGTGGGAGAAGTGGCCCCTACAGGACAGAAGAACTGCTTTGGAGACAGATCTTTGACCTGACATCACATTGGTTTGTCCGACAGTCTCCTTTGACCTCACCACTGTCACTCAAAACCACCGAAATGAAAAGATATATTTCAGACAGAGCATTCCTCAGAACTGTGGACATTTTGAAACCCTTTTAACTTCTGTCAATACAGTTTCAAAGAGGGGCCCAAATCATTATGTGGGATGCTAGGGCCAAAAATCTCACTTGGAATGTGAGTACAAAAAGTTTTATTTTACACTGTGACAGACTTTTGGTAGAGTTACTATGTGTTTTGACAAAGAGCTGATTAGTTTAATAACTAATGCTAAATCCATGCTGATGTTATAATTAATAGCACAGGCACAGTTAAGACAACACGTTCAGTTAAAACAACATATGGGAGAGCTTTTAACACAGAGCTAAACTATTGACCCCAGCCCATCTTTAGATTTGAAGATGTAATCTTGAGTTGTCCGCTGGATGTGATGGGAATTTCACCCTTCCCATAACCCCTAGTGTGGATCTGGCCACCACAGCCATCGTCATGACCTGCCCTCGTGACACACTGTATCCCAGACACGCGCGCACGCACTCTACAGCCCCGGGAACAGCTCTAGTGGGCAACAAAACACGAAAACTGTCATTGACATTCAGGAGTCACATGGGATGGGAGTTGGAGTTAGGATACAATTAGGCCTAGCCAAAAGTAAGATGTAGGCAGAAGCATGGCATGCGCACATTACCATGGCAGAAAAATATAGGCTTCTTGCCCATGTTTTGTTTAATAAGGCAGAGTCATAGGGGACCCATGAATAGAATAGGAACAAAATGTGTTTTGGCACATGCGCACATAGGGAAGACTACAGCGGGAAAACGATTCAAAGGAGCAACAAATTTACATACTTGTTTTTTTGTTTTTTTTAAAGATAAATAAAGGCTTCTAGGTGCTAAAATATAGCATGTGGCATAGTATATATCTAATCTATATGTATCTTGCGAAAAGTTTGCCACATACTTTTACTTTGTTAATAATAGATTTTGTGTTAGACTTTAGGCTGTACTCAACTTACCACCAGATTGCCCTTCTGGATGCATGCTGCCCCAGAGCCCTGGATGACGCTCTCCAGCACCTGCACGTCGCTGCTGGGGGAATTGGAGCAGTTTCTCCGTGCCTGTCGGATCTCCTCTTCGATGTCACTGAACTTGAAGGCGCACAGGGCAGACTTTCGGTCCGCCTTTGAAAATACTCCGAACAGGTAAGGCTCCGGGCTAGACCGTTCCTCCGTGGGAATGTTCACGTGATAAACGGACACAAGCCGGTTGTAAATGTTTCCATTAGATCCACACAGCAGCGGCATCTGGATGTAGGACTCTGTGAGTTTCCTGCTTTCGGGTCCGCTGGGTTTCTTTGGGTTGTCAGTGTCCAGGCAGATCCGGGCCAGGATGCTGTTGGGCTGGCTCTCCTTGTGGCCCATTTTGGCGTCATTATTAAAGGCAATATACGAGTATGTCTTTTGGATGAACGCGTGCACAAAGTTCAGCTTGTTTTTCGTCTTGGCCTCTTGTTTGATCTTGAAGACGTTGTCTTCTGAAGGGTTTATGTCATAAGTGAAAAGTCTGGATAAATCTTTGACATTTAAGGAGCGAATGGCTATCTCAGGAGTGTTCTCAAAGCGCAGGTCCTCTTTACTGTGGTTCTTGGGGAAATACTGGGTACCAGCCCCTGTGTACGTAGCTCCCACCAGGAGACGGGTGTTGCCCCCGTGGCTCCTGAAGATCAGTCCCACAGTGGACGCGTTTGGGTGATTGGCAGCGATGTTGAGCATGCTCGGGAACACAGTCTTCTCCCCATGAGGAGGGAACTCCACTGCTATCTCCGAGATATTGTCCATTTTTCTGAGCTCACAGAAGCCTTGGTATACTGACCCACACACGACCACGACCCCCTGCTCTCGGTCCAGCTTTAGCAGCTTGTTGTAATTGTCCGTGAGAGATTTGGGATGCTCGCACGGAGCTTGGGGCAGCTGTGGCGCATGGCACAACAGGTTGTCCTCCACCGGTCCCGTCCTCTTCTCCACCTCCAGACTGAGCGTCCCGTTCAGCTGGTACACTGTGTTGACCGTGGCCAGGTAGACTCTCCCGGAGACAGGGTCAACCACAAAGTTATTAGTGTGATTGGGAGACGCAAATGCCTGTTGGATGTACAGCGCGCTGGCACCACGGCGCGTCTCCAAAGCCAGGACGCTGAGCAGAAGGACGGCTATCTCTATCGAAGGAGGCATTTTTCCTTCTGACCGGCTTCCGCGTCTTCTGTGCCGTGGGGTGCATTGAGCAAAGACAAAATAGTGTTTGTTCCTAGTGCGACAATCCGAGAGGAAAGGCTGTTTCCTGCTCAACGCCTAGACCCGAATGACGCGATAAGCGAGTCGTGCTTCCTCTTTTCATCCTGCCTCCTCTGTCCCTCAGCCCACTGTGCTCCGCGCTGCTCCACAGCCTCGCTCCTGACGCGCAACGGGACACATCACTCATATTTTATCACCACTCAAACTAAGAGCTTTTAATACAACCAAGCGCAAACAATAAAGAGTAAACTAATTAGATTTTACAGATTTTATTCTATACTTTGAACAATAGTCCAATTGCAGTTGAAAACCCCCTTCCTCAGTCTATTGATTTTTTTTTCATTTCTTTGTACTTTCTTAGTGGTTGCTTGCACTAAGCATCTCCAAGGTGTTTTTTTTTTTTTTTTTTTTTTTTTTTAACCAAGTTAATTAGGGTTAGTTACAGTAACTTTTTCTCCATTTTGATTTATTAGACTTAGTGCTAACATTTCACAGGTTGATTTATGAAACTGCCTCTGAAGTTGCAATAATAACTATCTACTTTTTCTTTCAAGCTGTTCACTTGACCGTGCCCCACCCCACGTCTTGGTTCCGCTCATCTGGGGGTTAATGGTGGGTCAAAGTCCCGCCTCCTGCTCCTCTACATCTCCACACTCAGATTCGTTCTGCAGATCCGGAGGGTTCTGTTATGGGCACACTCACAACACGGTAAGCACCGTGAAAGTGCTACCAGATGGACACATGAGCGCACCTTTCCGGCTTCTGACATTCCCGTCTCTCCAACGAAGACCGGGCTCATAAATATTTAAAGTCAACAGGCGTTGTGTCAGTGTCCTGAAAATATACAAGCTATATCATATCTTGTATAGGGCAACAGTGAAGGCCAGAGGTCACATATAGGAACACGTGGAAATGGATAATGGTGGTATGGAATTTTATATCCCTTTAGCCAAATGGCAATGTCTCCAGAAAGAAAAACAAGTAGCCACGTTACTCTAACTCATTGCATCCCTCCAATTGGTCAAGCCTCACATAGCGCGCGCTGCTGCACTCCTGGACTTTGGGAGTGTGTCTGCATAAATCACGCCTGAACATGTTATCTCTACACACAATAATTAAAGTTGCTAAATCACCTCTCCCTATTTACCGTGAGCCCTCTGGAGACATGGTCTCCCATTCGCCGCTTGGCGCTTTCAGTGGCCAAATAAGTGCGCCCCATGTTTACTTTGGCGCACAGCCATGCGCATCAAATCTGCCCTCGCGCAGACCGTTGGGAAAGAGATAAAGTGCATTTAACAAGATGACCCCCAAAACTACATCGTACAATGACACTGACTGAGGCAGCAGGTAACCTGCACTGCGCGCGCGTGTGCCTAGTGTCCTATTAGCAGCTGCGGAGTGCGTGCGTGAGGGCACGCAGGGATAAAGGTGCGGCGTGGGTCAGAGCTGTCAGCATCAGATATCAGCAGAGAGGTTGTGCTGCTCAATCACGCTGTTGGAGCGGAGACTGTCTGCCATAAAGAGGGCAACGCCAGCCCCTCTGTGTTTAGAATGAAAATATTGTCTCTAGTGGCGCACGGACTCTCTGTGGTGTTTCAATGGGTAAGGGGCCTCTCGCAAACCTGTTTCCTTCCTGATAAGGAGTGACACCTCTTCGTGCTCAGGCCACCGCCTTCTCAGTACAAGCGCCACATGGCACAGACGGCCACTGCGAAGGAGCACAGAAAGCCAAAGCGCGCCATCTACTGGCTTAAAGAAAAGAGTTACACCTCAGCCCATCTATTTCACGTTCCATTATTACCATGACCCAGACTCAAACGCAACAAAAAAAAAGTAAGTGCTCTTGTGTTAGTCAGGAATGCACTTTATTTAATCCACACTTACAAAATGAAATTAAAGGCACTGGAGTGGTAGCACTCTTACATTATCATTACCCAGACATTATCACATCCGTAAGAAACCTTCCTGGAGTTGACAGTGACTAAGGGAAAATGACACAGGTGCAACAATGCATCATCTTATTTTTAACACCTTAAAAAAGACAATAAATAACTGTGGTGCTGATTTTAATAAATCACCTTACAGGTTAATAATAATTAATATAAAAAATTATCAAAGCTGGGCTCATTGTTACTTTTGCTCATTGAAAATATCACTGCCACTATCATTACAATGCATTCTTTTCATTTAAGAGTAAAGATTTATTGACGTTTTGACGTGAAGTGTGTAGTGCCTGTGAGTTTTAACTTAAGACAGAGCTGACAGTGATTCTGACCTGAGTCCGCCTCTCTCTTATCCCAGGAGGACTACTGTCTTAGGAGTGGCAACCTTTGAAGTCTCGATCACAGTCCCCCCATCCCGTCTCCGCCTGACACGCGTTATCTACTGTGTGCTAAAGTGCAGCGCTAACGTACTTTGAATGGTCTCGCTTTATCTTTTGCTCCTCAGTGCAAATAGTTGCCCTTCACTAATAAGAATGGTAGAAAATACTGAAAATCTAAGGGAATAATGAATAAGTAAGAAGCAAAAAGGAAGTCACTATCAAGTCACGCTTTCATTCATCACAAACGTCTCTTAAAAGATAAATTAATGGTTATTTAAACATTCAATGCAAAACTTTCCTTTACCTATTTTATCTAAGCTTCTTTCAGTTTGTGAGCACTCATAGCCTCAGGGTAGACCCAGGTTTGGCACTAGATGAGGATACAAAAACAACAAGGTAAAAGAGGAGCTAGTGATTAGATCTGGTAAGTATGTGAAAATTCCTTGGTAATGTGCCCCTGATGGAGTGGAATAAAGCAGCTCTCCTTTCCCAGTGATGGCAATGGAGCACCAAAACAGCTATGGCTCAGCGAATTACCCCAGCAAATAAACCTTATTATGACTGGTTAATACTGCTTTATAAGCAAACTTTGACTCCTTAAGAAACTGGCAGCATGTTAGACATGTTGCAAATATGGCAGGTTCACCCTAAAATTATCAAATTATTTTTTACAATGTAATTATTGCATTTAATCTAAAATCGAGACTTTGCAGATATTAGCTGATTAGACCCACTATTAAATGTTGCTCTTTTAAAAATCCTTCTTTCTTTCCAAAAGCAACAGCATCATCACAACATGGCCATGGCCAGCCCAGTTTCCAGACTAAACTCCAGAAGAGTAAAAGGACCATAATGCTACATGGTACTGAATAAAATATTGAGGAAATTTTCATATTAGAAATTATATCATAATAATAGATTAAAATCTAAACACAAACAGTACAGTGCTGCATCCTGTAAGGACTAAGAGTTCATTTCTAAAATGTAAACAGTCTTTTCCTTCGACATGAAAATCATGTATTTCACTTCACAGTTTCTGCTTCTGATCATCGTGATTCAACTGTCTCTGAGTCTGGACGGGTTTTCATCTTCAGACACCGTCACTGTCACAGTCCATCACATTTACAAGTGTCCCGCGTGGCTGCAGTGACACCCGCTTCAACTGTTGTCACCAAAGCACTAGTCCTAGTGCCGGGCGGGTTTGGGTTCACCCTGGAGGTTGCAGCGCGCGGTGGGTGTATCCGGACAGAGCGTCCCAGTTCCTCCAGAGAAACGCCAGAAGCACGATTAGCAGCAGTGTGGACAGAGAGCGGGAGCGCGTCCTCATCAGAGGAACCACACAGTTGGCCACAGTTGAGACAAAGACCAGGAGGACTGCCATGAGGGCCAGCAGCACGTTGATGAGTTTCCCCAAGAGGGTCCGGGCCGTGGCGTTCTCCAGCCCCTCCAGCTGCACCACCTGCTGCTGCTGCTGCTGCAGCTCCATTTTGGAGATCCTGGTCTGACACGCCTCCAGCGCCTCCTGTAACACATGGTTAATGAGCAAGGTCACCTTCCAGGCAAACACACTGCACATGGACTCAAGGCTCTGGCTTTCATAAGACTTTACTACCCCCTGCTGGAGAGCAATGGTAAAGCAGTTAAAAGGCAATGAACCCAAATAGAAACCTGATGCCTCAGCCAGAGTGAGTATGGGTTGTTTAAAAGGAAGTGCCCTTATTTTGATTAAAGCTCAAGTCCGGACAGACTGGATTTTTCAGACACCGCATTGTTTGTTATTTACACACAGACTATGAGGTAATCCTTGTACTTCAGCAGGTATATGATAACCATCTGAGACTTCAGGTGGATTGCACTGTGTTGGCTAAGTATTCTAAATCCAGTTTAAATTCAAATAATCCATGTGGCTTTACTGTCCATAACTTGGACAACAGACTTAAGACAACTATGCAATGTATATACAGTTGGAACTATCCGAAATAAACATTGCACATGAGGCCGCTATATTTTTATATTAATATATTTAGATTATATTGCATAATATTGGGAGTAAAAGTACTTGCTTGACAAATAATGTGTACTGCAGGACATTCTAGTCTCATTAAATATTCCGACCACTGTTTGGTCTGTACAGATACAAACCTGTATGTCTCTGGCTCTCTCGTACGACTGGTAGGCAATCTTTTCCTCCATACTGGCTAACTCTTGTTTCAGGTTGAGGATTTCATTCTGATGAAGTTCAGTGAGGTCGTTCAGTTGCTCTTCCAACCTCTCACACCTGAACACATAAACACACACGGACACACGTGAGACTGGAATGTAATTGGCTTACATTCAGACACACAGGATTTAGCCAGAGCCAGATCTTCCTAAAGGCATTTGACCACATTGGCACCTGACTGGACAGCTCATTAGATTTAGTCATCTGCTGATATGGTCGACCAATCACACCGTGGCAGTGGGAGGAAGCCAATCTGAGAGCAGCAAGAGTAAAATGGTTCAACAGTGTACTATTGTGTTTTTGCATCTAAGGAACAAGTAATATGCATAGACAATAGGACATTAAAAGTATGTATACCTTTTAAACTACAGCTAAACATGCCCATATAATACACTATTTAAGTCACCCAATTATTTTAAAATCAGATTTATATTTCATACAAACATCAAAAGTTCTAAGACAGCGGGTCCCAAACTATATGCACCAAGTATAGCACATGGACTCCTATTCAGAGTATTAACTTAATTAGAGGCAGTAATTCATGGTAGTCCTTTTTTAGACCTGGTTTAGATCTCGTGCTAGACTAAATATTTTGTAGTGGTACTGGTATTAAAAGTCTGAGAACTACATTAGTGTTCTAAGTAATATGTAATACACTTCTCTTTCTGATAGACCATTCATTTATACAGTGTTTAAGAAAACAGTTTTTTTTTCAAGCTTTCAACATACATATTTTTGATAATTGATACTGTTGATTGATACTGACAAACTATCGTAATGGTATTAGTTTACAACTGTAAGTGAAACCCATTACAACTAAAAAAAAACTATGCTTTTGTGTGTAATAGAATTCATAAATTGAGACTGAACTGTGCTGTTGGCAAGACTGGTTCCAAATTAGATTGACCTGAAATGCCACTTTAATTATGAGCATATCTGGAAACAGTATTTTTAAATAGTATTTCTGCTGGCATGATTTGTTTTTGATGACTCTTCCCAGCTGGCAGGATGCGGTCACTCTGTCCCCAGTTATTCTTAGGACAAACAGTGCTTGCTTACACTATGGACATTTTAGGCAGAAAAATGCTCTCCCCTCTCGATATCAACTGGGATGTTGTTTTGCCCTTAATACAAGACATGCTGATATTTTAACTGAACATTCTGAGCATTTGGGACTGTTTTCTGAAGACAGCTGCCCACACAAATTCACAACAATAAGCAATGTTTTGGTATGATAAAAGAAGGAATGGGCTGGAATAACATAGGAATGTGTGGGTGTTTGTTTAAGTGTAACAGCTTCATAAAAATGTGTGAAAAAAATTATGATATCATCTCTGAAATAATAAAGTAAGATATTAGTAAAACAAGTTCAAGGGTTGGCTATTTATCAGCAGGTAACGCCTGTGATAAAAGGAAATCTGGATTAATGTCATATTGTAAAATAAAACAACTTGTCCTAATAAAAGTTAACTGCACAAAAGGAACTCTAGGAAAACATTTATTTTGTTTTCTTGGTATCTCATTGTACTGGTCAAACCTGCTCTTCAATACAGAGTAAAAGTGTTTTTAGGAATGACAATGGGGAAAGATTTGTGTACAAATAATTTAAAAAAATCGTTTTATGTTACAACAGTAAAAACGAGTGCACTTTTTCTTTTTTCCTTTCTTTATGTTAAACTATTTACTGATCTATATTATAATGTTGTTTCCTCATCAAAAACATACCTGGAGTAGTGTCTTGTTTCATTCACACATGTTTAACACACAAACCCTGCTTATTTAGGCTGACTTCTCTCAAACGGAAACACTCTGTGCCACCTTGCGATGTCATATAGTAATACAGGAAGTGCTACACTGTGTTTTTATACTCCATACACCTTCACTAGAATCATTTGAGCTGAAATCATACAGTCTCTACTCAACAAAAGATAAAAAGTATCCATTAACTTGAAAAAGAATGCTTCATGACATCACAAGGTGGAAAAGAGAATTTTGAACTTTGGAAGTGTAGACAGACTAATAATAAAAGGATTACTCAAACATGTGTGAATGAAACAAAAACAGAACTTTTTGATGAGGTAGCGACATACCATGGTTAACAGCTCACAAGAGTCAATTTGGTGTAAAGTAGGGCATTTAAAGTAAAAAAAAAAAAATCCAATGTTTTTTATCATACCTGAATCGCTCCTCTTGCAGCGCTTGAACGATAAAGGTATAGTCCCTTTGATAGTGCGATTTAAGACTTTCCATGTGCTCCTCTAGTCTAGCCTGGCTCTCCCTCAGCTCCTGCACCTCCTGTAGCAGCATGTCAAAACCCGAACTTTGATTCCTCTCCAGCGTGTTGCCTCGGGAACTGGGGGGACCACCTGGTGCCCCTGTCGTACTATTAGCCCCTGCCGATCCCGAAGTCGCGCTTGAGCAATCATCTTCGCTACCATATTTGGGACTAGACTGAAAATGGTGCCCTACAGATCGTCCACCGACTACAGCCACTGCCTCCTCCACTGTGGAGTCATCCAGAGAGTCCTTTAGCGAAGGGATATTGTCCGCACTTCCGAATTTGTTGCGGATGAGGGATGCGATCTCTCTTGGTTTGGATACAACGGCACCAGCGGCAGAATGGGTAGCTTGGGAGAAACTGGATAGTCCCCCCTTGACGCTGTCCACCACACCTTCGCTGAACCCAGTCACTTTGGCCCCTACGTCCTTCAGACCCTGGTGCATGTCTCTCAGGACGTCCTTGGGCTGCCGTGGGATGCCATTGTGCTCCACCTCCCGCAGTTTTCGGTGGTAGTGCTCCAGTTTGCGCTGCAGCTGTTGGATGGTTTGTGCCGACTTCTGGTTCTTCTTTTCAAAAACCTTATGGGAAGTAAAAGAAAAACTATTTTAAAGACATTTTAAAGATTTTATGGAAAAAATGTGAGCCGTATACATTTTCAGAAAGTGAAGACATACTTTAAATTCAAACTTCAAACATTGTTAAATACAAATGTATAACTCATATAGAAAAAAAGATATATTATAAAGTACCTACTACAGTAACCACTATTCAAGTACCACGACATATGCAAAGTAACGACAATGACAACTATCAGCCACTAGTGATGAAAAATACTTAATATAATTGTGATTAAAATAAAATAGCAATTGACTCTCACTCATGGGTTTCTGAAACAATGCATGTTCAAATCAAAGTTGACCTCTATAATTTTCCTTTTAAATCTAATTTGTATGTGATAATGTAGATGTAGTAATGTCCTATTGTGTGCTACTGATTGACCTCACAGCTTCTATTTGTTCTGAATAGCTCCACTGAGTTTTTGTTTGGCTGTCCACTATGTTTTTTGTTGTTTTGTTTTTTTTGCTCCAACTGATTGTCCCTGGTGAGATTAATCTGAATGTGGAGAAAAGTCAGCCATAAATGTTTATACTATAATAAAAAATTACATAAAATAAAAAAATAAAAATAGAGCAAAATTCCCTTGTACCTGCTTGATGCGTGAGCTCTGCTGCTTGTCTGCATTGTTGGCCAGCTTGAGGTACTCCGCCACATTGTCATCTCGAGCTGTTTGTTCGATTTTGATCTGCTCCGTGAGTTTGAGAATCTTCTGCTGCAGTTGGGAGATAGCCTGCTTGGTGCGCTGAGGGTCTGGGGTGCCATCATCTGCCCCAGGGTAGGAACCATCTGTCCCACAGGACACGGCCAGCGGAGTCTGAGAGAGGGCACTCACCTCCAGGCGGTCAATCTAAACAGACAAGAAGAAAGAAAGGTGTTAATTAGTCAAGTTATTTTATCTTTCAATATCAAAGGTGCACTATCTAATGGTAAATGTTAAGGTGCTGGAGGTCCATCACGTTCTTGTTTCTGTGAATATGTTATTGCTCTGCTTTGAATGTTCTGCAATATGACATTAAACAGATCTACCTTACATTTATTCATTTACAAGTGGTTTTATTACTCAAAAATACGTAGAAAAGCAAACATTCTGACTGTGATAAACGGGGTTGCCTCTCCACCTGACCTATAACTTGGTCTGGCTTGGTCTCCATGATAAAGAAAAGCAGATGACGGACCCTCCACCAGAAAAAACAAAACAAAATTTAAATGTGGCTGTTCATGTGTGGTTGTTATTGGACATAAATGGCAAAACATAAACTTCTGAATTTGACTAAACTAGAAATCAGGTCAGAAGTAAAAACAACAGAAATAAAGAAAAAGGAAGAGGAACGTGAGCAGCAGAACGCGTGAAAGTATTTTTGCTGACCATCATCAAAAATCAACCGTCTGTGTTAATGTCACCCAAAAAAGGGGTAAAAATCAGACACTGGGTCACTTTTGGTCATTTAAAAAAGAGGAAGCTAATATATGACATGATTATGTGAAGAAAGCGAATCTTAACCAAAGAAATAAAAATGAAAACAGTAAAAGGCTGCGTCAGATGTCTCGTTGAAAAAAAAAAAAAATAATCTGTGATTTGCTTTTGAGGAGAACAACTGTTTTTAGCCTATATAGCAACACAAGTACTATAAGCGCCATGGTTGGTTGGATATTGTCTTATCTGGCAAAACAAAAGAGTTTCATCATCAAAAGTTACATTTTAATTCTAGTGTTTATTTATATTTTCTTGTTTCTTGTTTTGTTTTTAACTTCAAATTTATTGCTCTTTGCACTTTAAACTGAGCTACTTGAATGAGGATATTATCCCACACAGACCAATAAAATGTCTCTTATCTAATTGAAATAAATGTCTTATCTTAATTTGTGTTACGATCTGTCCTGCATGGTAGAAATAAAATAACAACTGCTTGAGATAGCAGAACAAAAACAAAAGTATTCATTAAACTAATCAGACAGAAACTAGGTGGTAATATAACTAATTCCTCAGAAATAATGACAAATTTAATTTAACCTTCCTAAAGCTGTAGACATAATACAGAGGAAATGTGTCATTCATAATACAATGCCAGTCAAACAACTCCAGCTGGATCCGTCTGTATTGCCGCACCACAAAAGGGTCAAAACCAGCATACCTGGCTCACCTGCTGCATGCGCAACTTATGACTAATCCGACAGAAACTGACAACAGCGGTTTGTACGCAGAGAGCACAAAACCCGCAGATGTATTAGCTTTAAGCGCACTTATTAAGTAATTTAACACTGAAGATAGCGCATCAAAAGTGCCATAAAAAGCGCTTAAACTCTCATACCTTGTTATTAGTTAAACGAAGAAGTTGTTCCCAGTGCATTTTCTCCAAAGAAATCCAAGCTCGTATGTTTTCATCTGTAATTCCTTGACATTAAGACAAAAGCTTTGACAGTGTCCTAGCTGCTGCTCTTCTAGCTCCTTCTGTGAGCTTTCCCTGAATAGTAACTGAGAGGATGCCTGCTGCTCGCCGGGTGTTGTTGTGAAAGTTGAAGCGTACCTGAAACTGAAGACGAGCAGCACTCACCACACCACGCCCCCTTTCGCAATAAGCCCCGCCCACGCAGGCCAAGGGTGACATCATCCTTTCACGAAGCTTTGCACTGCGAGCTGAAATAGCGCCACAGTGACGGACTTTACTGTATGTGACCGGTACAAATGCACTGACAGTGAGTGGGACATAGTTATGCTTTTAACAGCAAGGGCTCCATGCCATGTCTTTGACTAATAAAGACCTGTTAGTGCAGCTGCTGAGCTAGTTATTAACAGGACATAAAGGACTGCAGCCTGTGTTCATTCTTAGACTTAGACTTCGACTTCAAATACACAAACTAAGAAAATATCACTGTCGATTGTACAATAAATACAAATTAATGAATGAAAAATAGTATGAAAAAAAAATAGTATGAAAAAAAAAAGTACAAATCAATTTACCTGGGGGGATAATTTAATATCCTTGTAAGGAAGTTGATTTGCAGTGAGTTTACTCAAATGAATCTAAGAGATCCTGAGATCAGGTAGGCTAAATCAAAAGTATGAATCATATTTACTTGTAATATAGCTTACTGATGAGTGGAACAATTTAGCCATGACTGAATCTGTTTATATAGTTTTAAATAACGGTACAGGACTTTCGGAAAATAGTAAAAGTCACTATCCAGATTTGAGGCTTGAGGGCAGAAGGGGAATTCTGAGCAAATCTCAGTTTCTTCTTTTCTCCCTGTTCCACCCAACAGAAAGGTGTAAAGGTCCTGAAAAACCAGTTTAACATCTCTTTAATGTCTTAAACAATGAACACAAATGCTGTAAGAGAACACAGCTACAATTCCTAAATAAACCAACATGGAATATTTCAATCTTAACCAGATTAAGGAGTATCAATAGAAATAATATTAGTAGTTTTAGCAATAACAATAACAGTGTCATGCAGCAGCAGTAATGGTGGAAACAGGTGCAGTTGTATAAAAGCACAAGCACTAGTGATAGTACCATACATTTGGTAGTGTCGGTGCTAAAGCAGTAGTAACTTTTGTTTACTCGCTGTTTGCCTCCAGTGTTTTGTAATGGAATTTTCGATGAGCAAATGCACAAATATGAATGCATTACAAAGGTACAGATGATACAGATAAGTACGGTAAGAGGTACTTTTCCTTGAGTACAAGAATGTGTAAAAATAGACTGTTCTTATGAGGCATCAACAACAAATGTGAGTACATTGTAATCATTCATAAATCCACTTTGGTCAGTCAGGCAGATCAAATGATGAAAGAACAAGAATAGCCTGTTGAGCTGGTACAGTTAGGGACTCGGGGTTTCACACACCACCTGGTCCTTTCTCAGTCTTTAAATAAAGCTGATTTACATGTTATATATATGTATGAGGTATACACGTGAACAAAAGTCTGTGGTATGTAAATGTTTATTTAGTAGTAGTGGCAGCCTATATTGACAAAAATATTGTTGTTGTATTTTTTGGAATATCCTAATAACAACAGAAATGTCTTTGTTTATATATAATGTATTTTTAAATATATTAAGTGAAAATGAATTATCAGAGTAATATGAAATGACTGTAGCAACATCAATTGATACATTTGAGTCAGATGTTTACAGCGTTTTTTTTTATTTATTATTATTTAACATTTTAATCCCCTCTTTTTAAACCTTTTTTTTTTTTTTTTTTACATATATAAACAGTATGCACAATATTCCAATTTTACCTAACTTCAAACAAAACAATGTTCATGATGTCAAGGGCTGTAGTCCTTTAGTTGTTTAGTTGTTTTTGCATGAACTCTCGTGCAGTTGCAGTCTTTTAAGTGCAGTTTGGGTCAGATACATAGAGATATATAACAGTTTTGAGAGTTTTTGACACATCCCTTTTTAGTTGACTAACTGAGAGGCAGGTCTCATCTTTAGTCGGACAATTATTTCTTTAGTCAACTACAGCCCTTGTAACAGTAGTAGTAACGGAAAAATACAAATGAGAATCTGGCATGATATTCCAGGGCTTTCCACTGTCTCAAAGATAACTTAATTATCTGACTTGAGATACTGACTGGAGATAGGCGATGGGGCAGAGTACATGTGAAGTGAATGGGTGATTCTGATAGACTGCAGATATGACGCCCAGTGACCTGCTCTGATTGTGCCCCACCTCACACCATTTCATTGGATCAGGAGTCAGCAGAAAGTGTGGCGTTTATGTAAAGAACTGGAGTTCAGTCAGCTGGGGACTTTCTCATTTGTGCGTGAATAACCCACAATAAGAATCACAGTCAAATAAGAAGGATTGGTCAGCTGATTGTCAGCAGTTCAACTTATTTACTACAGGGCAATAAAAGTGAATATATATAGTTTATTACCGGAAAGTGGGGGAAAAACATCTTATTAAATAAAAATGTATAACAAAATGTGTTTCTTAAATATAAACAAGACTTTTAATCTGCTGCATTAAACAAAACAAAAAAAGTCAAATTCATTCCCCCAAACTCTGCTCCAAACCACATGCTGAGGATTGGCTGTGGACCTCTCAATTAAAAAAAAAAAACAAGCATATCATTGACCATTACGTCACCTTTCTCAATCTTGAAAATTTATTTAAATGCAAAGCCCTACTTCCTCTAGTACAATGATTACTTTCACCATGATTAACAGTGATAGTCATACTACCACGACCTCTGGGCTGGTCAAAAGGGGGGGCATATATGAGAACTACAGGTACCTTGATCCTTGGACAGAGAGCCACAGAGCAAGGGACATGTTTGAGCGGAGCCTATTTTGGGTTGGAGATAAACAAATCAGTTTAATCACTACACCTCATTACGCTGTGTAATATAACTAGAGGAAGAAGCAGTGAATTTTGTCACCAGACAATTCTGCTTAATTGACTGTAACTGAAAGAAAACTTGTAATTATAGCACTAAAAGTTGGGGTGCAGCTAATGATAAATTTATTTAGATTATTTGAGTAGTTGCTCTTTCTATTAATAATATCATTATTTGATTTAATTGATTGAAATAAAAAAAACAAGATAAATACATTACATAAATATTATATTTTATTCCAAAGGTAGAAAATATGTATTATTTATGTGTATTGTTTAAGTGTATTGTTGATTTTTTTATATTTTTTTTTCTTGTCTTTTAGCACATGTTTTAGAGTCTATAGTCCAGATAAGAATTAAGGGATTTGAAAAAATAGGCAATTCTTGTAATCACAAGGTGGTTAATAATTGTTGTTTAGGTAACAGCTGTAGTAGTAATAGTGACTCTCTTGGCAGCATAGAAGTAGTTATAGCATCAAACAGCCCAGTACCTCAG